TTGGCTTTCTTTTTGTAAAATAAATGATGACATGGTATAATATGTCATGTGTTGTTGTTCAGCTGAGGTTGGATTTATCTACTTTTGAGATCTGCTAGGGACCAGATGATTTTTATTATGTCCTGATATGTAAAACCATAGAACTCAAAGAGGTGTACTTTCTTTTTCACAGGACTGTACATGCAGCATAGAGCTACAGAACCATGTCATTTTACTGGGACAGTTAAATGGATTTTGATCTTTCCATGAAAGTCAGTGAGACTTAGAACACTTACTTTAACCTGAATTAAACCCTGCTTATATATATTCTTGTTTTTAAAAACTGAAAACTTTTTAGTCAATCATTTAAAAAGTAATTCATGCAGCTGAGTAAAACATTTCAAAAAACCCAAAAAAACCTGGGCATTCTTAACCTGCACTGTATCAGGGACTGCCTTACTCAGACTGATTCTTCCCATTCTGTAAACTCATCCAGAGAGAACCTGCTTAGGCTCCTGTCCTCTTGAGAGGAGAGGAGGAGTGAGCCAGAAGACAGGCTTTTTGGTTGTGGCCCCAATGTGCCTAATTCCCTGTAAAATAAACCAGGGTATGAAAGATGGCAGGAAAATGGCATTATAGTTAAATGGCAGGAAATAGCCATCATTATGGCTATTTCATGTTTTCTTAAGAGTGAGCCACTTTTCAGTGCAGGAAATGAAGATATGTCAAGCGTATTTTAGACCTTTAAAATAAATATTACATTTTACAGCAGGTCCATTTCCAACTGCCATAATATTCTCTCTCTCTCTCTCTAGTTATATACCACATAATTTATGAAATCAATAGTACTATAGCTTATAAAGAGGTCTTAAGTAAACAGTCAATTAGTAAGGTGTACTTAATGTATATTAAACATAAATTGCAAAATAGCATATTGGATCATTAACCACCATAACTGAGAGAAACTATTTTGCACAAGTGTTATTAAAGAAAACTTTATGTGTTATCCAAATAAGAACCAAAAACAACCAGAAACACAAAATAAAATGATACCATATCAGTACCAAACTAGGTAGCTCAGTCTCAATTCTGAGATTTTTATGTTAAAGGTTCACTGCTCACCTGGAGAAATTATGTAAAAAAAATTTTTGAACTCATCCATCCAAACTTCCGCAAGTCGTCTATTATTTTTATTAATAATCTGTCCAGTGCCTCCTGGAAAAGTGTAAGGAGTGGCTTTTCGAAAAACATGTCCCACGTGAGAACATGTCACAATTTCTAAAGTTCCTCCGCATTGCCAAATCTGAAAATGCCAAACAACCATTAAAAATCATTTAAAATAATAAATGTAGTTCCTATACAATTTAAAATAAATTATAGTTGCATATTAAAATCTGATCCATAGACACTGAATCCTCAGATGCTCCCTTTTTGTCATTCCATCTTGCACATGAGCAAGGCTCATGTATGCCTTTGATAGCACTCCAGAAACATCTATGTGAAGGCCCTTCTGTTTCTACCACAAATTATACCAAAACATATGGAATTTAAAAGGATATTTCTTACTCTGAATGAAATTTCTAGGTTTTCTCCTCCCCATATATCCATTCCAGCATCGTATGTTCCAATTTCTTGAAAATAATCTCTGTCTATGGAAAAGAGGCCTCCTGCCATTGTAGGTGTCCTAAAAGAAGGATAAATTTTTCTGAACTGAAATGTGATATTTATCAATGCTTAACAGTGAGCTCAGATGGTGAATGCCAATCAAAAGTAAGATAAAACCAGATCTCTGAGAAACAAGGAGACATCAGCTTACTCCAGAGCTTTGTAGATAATCACTACAATATTCTATTATTGCAGAGAGTAAAGAGGATGACTTTGGTGGAGAGAGATCCATTACTAAAGCAACAAAAAGGGAAACATTGTTTAAGGTGAAACAATGGGGGAGGATTACAAAAATAAATCAGACAGACCCCTCCCAGTTCACATGAATGTAACAGAGGGATGAGGGGAAGCACAGACGTGCAAGATTATATTGCTATAATCAATCTAAATGAAAGTAGGTTTTAGTCTATTGTGGAATCTACCTTGTAGGGTTGGCAATTAATCACACCATGTACTACTACAAAGTTAACGCTTATTTATAATGTAGCTAAAATGCTATAAATTAAATTAAATTAAATTCTTTCTTCATATGATTCCAGTAGGATTAACGTATTTTTACTTGCTGGGTCCATTAAACTATGTGGGTATGATTTTTACAAAGTTACTACAAAGAGAAAGGTTTAGCACAGCAGCTAGATTGTAAGCTAAGTGGTGGATTCCAATTCGATCCTCCCTGTTCTTTTATTAATTGGCTATGATGTTTCTGAAAGATCAGGGAACAGCAATAATAAAGCCTATTTACAAAAAGAGAAAAGAGACTTCCTAGATAATTATCGTCTAACTGGTTTATTAAAGATCATCAGCACATTTAAAACATGCTTTGAGATCCTTTGCCATTTATTGTAAGGATGAAATATTAGTAAAAAATTGTGGAAAAAAAAACTCCTGAATTCTCAGATTGAGAAAACTAAGACTATACTTTGGAATTGTTTTTCAGGCTTCCAGCTGGAAAAATGCTTACTTAGACTATGTAATTCAGAATGGCCAAAAATCAACTTCAGCAATCGGAAATTTTTATTGATTAAGGGATCCCTTATTTATTCTTGCTGCCTTAAAGCTATTCTCTGCCAAAGAGTGCTCCCAGCTAGGAAAACTACAATCTAAATTCTACAAAAACTCTTACAAGTTCCATGCTGTGCCCCAAACATAGCCAATTATATTAGGACTGAAATTAAGATTTAGGTCTTTTTTTAAACCTAGTGGTTAAAACTAAAGCTGCCTATAAGCTTGTCCCCTTTGACATCAGCAGATAATTTCAATGCTACATGGAGGAGATAACTACCAGAAAAGCTGCACTTCTATGGATCCTCCAAGGAAGCTCTCGCATTTGTAGGGTACGAATAGGCCAAAAAGGCATTGACACAGTGTGTGCAGGACATAGAAAGATAATTTGATCAGTCTTAACCATCCCAAGAAGTTTCCTTAAATGGCTGATCTCCCTCAGTCAGACCTGTGAGATATTTAAATTCTATCACAATTTTCAAGCTGAGAAGGGCTGTAACATTAGCTCAGTGTAACATTCTGCCATCTGCTGCACTAGAAGGCAGATATAAAAAAATACCTTATGCTGCCCAATTATGTCCTTATGGCACAGGCACTGCTCATACTTTATTATACTACAGTTTTTACCAGGATTCCAGAGCTTGTTTCATGTACCTTCATATTGTAAGGTTTACCCTGTTCGTCTCACAGAAACTCTCGTGACACGTGTGTTCAGCAAAGAAATTTACTCAAGCATAACGTTAGTAAGTACAGACAATCTGACACATATAGCAAAATGCCCTGGGGATACAGACTCCTATTACAGCATATGCAAACCCTTCTCTCAAACCACTCAGATCCCACTTAGAAGTTGCCAAATTCTGCCATGCTACTATTAAAATTAGGCAAGAGCTAATTTTCCAACTTTCCAACTGACATTTGTTGACTGAAATAGAAACATCCAGTGACAGGATACAAAAAACCCTTACTGTTATCATCTTAACTACATCTAACAGCTCTAAATTTAGAATTTTAGTGATATAGTAGAGTATAATCATTTAGTTTTGGTTAGAGATATAATTTTAGCTTTAAACAACACCATGATTTTATTCTTAGGTTTTAGGTTATTTTAGGGTTTTTTTGTTTTTGTTTTTTTTTTCTGGAGGACTCGGTGGCGCAGCGGCTTAATGACGCTGAAAGTTGCCGGCCAGAAATGGTCGACACTTCAGCGGTTCGAGTCCAGC